TCCCCTTTATATTGCATTGCTGTCTTTTTCAAATGCAAGAACCAGCTTAGAGAAGGTTTTATCATAATATACTTTCTGATTGGATGGGGAAGGGTTCATGCATTGTGGATGGCTTGGGGCTTTGGAAATGCAAGAATCAGCTTAAATTTGAGATTTATTAAAAGCCTATGTAACTATAAAGGACCTAGGATTGAGATTCCAAGTTACTATCCAGAAGCAGACAGGAAACACGTCTAGGCCAGGGCACTGTAAAATATAACCAAATTAAAGGACCTAGGATTGAGATTCCAAGTTTTAGAAATAATGTTGTTTCAAGAGAGCATTGTGATAGCGTAGGCGTTCAATGTACAAGTCCTGTGGCGGACATGTACAGCGAAGACAACAGTTGCTAAATGCCGTGACCTCTTAGTTAAGCTGATGGAGACCATTTTTGGTTCCTAATTTGTTTCGAATCAAATTATGTTGTCTTTTTGTCATGAGAAAATACATGCCTATAGGAATCTGTGTACGACAGCTCAAGAGAAGATATAATCTAGATAGGCCATTTTTTTTTAACGTACGAAAAACATAGAGGATATTGGAATTTGAACACAACCTTGGAGTTTTATGTGACCAAACATTAATTATATAGACTAACCAGCTAGCTCTCCACTATCTAGAAACCAAAGATTTTATAATTAAGAATAGAGAGAGATCATGAAGAACTTTAGATTAGGTACTACATCTCTTATTGTGTTACTCGTTCTAGCTACTCTTTCTAGTTCCTCAAATGCAAGATTGCCAACCTGCAAGCCTAGCGGCAAGATAAAGGCCAAAAAGCCGCCGACGGGGCACTGTAACATTGAAGATGATGACATATGTTGCATCAAAGGCAAAGTGTACACTACTTACAAATGTTCACCCCCAGTTTCTAACAAGAGTACCAAGGCAGTTCTCACATTGGATAGTTTTGAAAAGGGCGGAGATGGATATGGACCATCAAAATGTGATAACAAGTATCATTCTGATCATACACATGTGGTATCTCTTTCCACTGGTTGGTACAATGGAGGAGGAAGGTGCCTTAGTAACATTACAATAAGTGCTAATAATGGAACAAGTGTAAAAGCCATGGTTGTGGATGAGTGTGACTCAACCATGGGTTGTGATGAGAAACATGATTATCAACCACCTTGTCCTAATAACCTTGTTATAGCTTCACAAGCAGTTTGGAGAGCTTTACATGTGCCCATGAACGAATGGGGGGAATTGGATATAACATGGTCCGATGAATAGGCTAATTAAACTGCTTGTTTGTACTCCAATGTGTTATCAATCTCGTCTGAATATTTCTGTTTCTGTAACTTTCTCCAAAAGCTATATTACTATATTACTAAGCTTACAGTACTCTAATGATACAAGTAAACAATATACCACTCTTTGCTTCACATTAGGTACCGGTATTCTCTATTATGTATAAGTTCCAAAATGAAAGATAATAATTCATACATTCCTATGAAATAGCAATACATTTTCTCTCATAATTCAAAAATCAGTTCTACTACATCATGCCTGCAGCAATCTCTTAGCACTAGTTTCATTTGAATCCCTGATTCCTTTTGGTTAAACTACGTCTTTAACAATCCTCAACTGCCAGTTTAGTTGTCTCAGCCGTATCTTGAATAGAGCATTCTGTTCCATAATTAGCATTTGGCTGATTAGATAACTAGTTTAAATGATGACACCGTTGAAATGGAAAGTCGTTTCTCCAATTTCAACTCCTGCACTCCTGCTGCAACATCATTTCTTGGCGACAAGATTAACTCGTGCTGCAAACTCATCAATTCCAGTTTTACTGTGCTGCTTTTTACTCCTAAGTACTGAAGCCTGTAGATGATCACAATTAGAAGTACACTAATCAGTGACATTTTTGAAGCAAAATAAGGGGAAGACGAGTGAGATATGCAAACTCAAAAAGCTTCTCCTCAACACATCAAAACAAAGCTAGATTTAAGCAATGTCTATGATTCCTTTTAGTTTCTTTCATTTCTTCATATCGAGATGATTCCTTGTAGTTAAACCAATAGTAATGATTTTTATAGAGGATCATTATATGCTAAAGTGTTTCATGAACCGGATAGGACTATCATCTTTGAAACTCATCACCAAGTCTAAAGCTCGAGCTTGAGTTTTCTAGGTTCAAATTCGTTAAGCTCGACGGTTGGCTGCTGTTCCATGTTGGAAGGATTGAGTGAGCTGTGAGAGACACTCAGTCGAGAGAGATGATAAGGAGCAGTTGTAGAGAGAGAAATAAAATTGGAAGAAATGAATCTTACACTTTTGTCATTCACTATATACATAGTTTTATACATCCACCTGATGACTAACCATAACACCTAACCATAATTAACCTTTAACTACTAACTCTAGTTAACTAAACCTTACTCACTACTTACAAAATACTACTCTACAATTCACAGTACAAGGTACAAGTAAAATCTGCCACTAATACTTTCTACACTCCCCCTCAAGTTGGGTGATGAAAGACATTGATCATCCCCAACTTGCATAACATTTCACAGTGTAATTGTTTTCCCAAAGCCTTAGTTAGAATGTCTGCAACCTACTCCTTGCCTGGCACATGCTATATTTTGATCATTCCTTGGTATAGCCTTTCTCTAATGAAATGCCAATCAATCTCTATATGCTTTATTCGCTCATGATACATGGGGTTTGAGGCTATCTGTAGAGCCGCTTTACTATCACAATATAATTCCATTGGTAGTTCAACTGGTGCTCTTAGTTCTTGTAACAGACCATGCACCCAGACTAATTCTGCGACAGTAGTAGCCATACTCATGTATTCTGCTTCTGCTGAGCTTCTTGAGACAGTGTTATGTTTTTTTGATTTCCAGGAAATCAAAGAGTTCCCCAACCTGATGCAGTATCCAGTAACTGACTTCCTGGAAAGTATACAGGATGCCCAGTCTGCATCGCAAAAGGCTGTTACTTTGCTAGATGATGTGCTACTCATTAACAGGCCCATTCCAGGTTTATCCTTGATGTATCTTACCACTCGCAGTGCTGCTTCATAATGGGATTCCTTTGGGGCATGCATAAATTGACTTAAGTGTTGAATAGCGAATGAGATGTATGGTCTTGTAGTGGCCAGATAAAGCAATCTTCCTATCAGCCTCTGATATACTCCTCTGTCTTCCAGTTCCTTGTCCCCAGTGATATCAAATTGTTGGTCATACTCTTAACTTGTTAGCTTTTGATTTTGTACCAAAGGTGTTGTGACTGGTTTAGCTCCCCCTGAACCACATTCTGAAATTAATTCCAATGCGTATCTCCTTTGGTTCATAAGTATACCTTCATCAGATCTGGCAAACTCAATTCCAAGGAAAAATCTCAATTCTCCTAAATCCTTCATTTTAAAGTTCTGATTCAAAACGTTCTTGGCCTCTTTAATCAGTGTGACATTGCTACCTGTGATCAGCAAGTCATCAACATATACCAAAATTACAACAATGTCTCCATTGTGCCTTTTAGTGAACAGAGAGTAGTCCAGCTTGCTTTGGACATAGCCAGAATTGGTTAAGGCTGTGGTTAGCTTCAGATTCCACTTCCTGCTTGCTTGTTTGAGGCCATATATGGATTTGAGTAGCCTGCACACCTTAGTCTCCCCCTGGCTACCAAATCCTTGAGGCAATGTCATGTAAACATCTTCAACTAAATCACCTTGAAGGAATGCATTATAGACATCCATTTGAAAAAGAGGCCAAGCCTGTTGAGCAGCCATGGCGATGACATATCTCACTGTGACCATTTTCACTACTGGAGAAAAGGTATCATGGTAATCCAGGCCTTCCAGTTGAGTAAAGCCCTTGGCTACAAGCCTAGCTTTATATCTCTCCACATTACCATCAGCCCTATACTTCACTTTATAAACCCATTTACATCCAATGGGCTTCTTACCTGCAGGCAAGTCTACAACCTCCCAAGTTTGATTGTCAGAGAGAGCCTGAATCTCAAGTCTCATAGCTTGAATCCAATGTTCATCTTGAATGGCTTGATTAAAAGAAGCAGGTTCAATGACAGAAGAAAAGGCTGACATATAGGCTTTATAAGGAGGAGAGATGGATGAATAGGATAGGGAATCAGAGATAGGATATAGTATAGTGGAGCAATGAACATAATCAGTAAGCCATATAGGAGGTTTGGATTCCCTAGATGACCTCCTAAGAGGAGCATCAGATACAGGAGAAAAAGAAGGGGAAGGAGGAAAAAAACTACAAGAGAAGAAGGGAAACCCCTAGCAGCGCACTCTGATGAAGGAGAGTCAGAACTGGTTGGACTAGAAGAATGAGAAACAGGGTGAATAGGAAAAGTATCTTCTGAGGGAGGAGTTAAATTTTGAGAAAGTGGAGTTCCCCAGGATGGAATCTGAGGTTCCAGGAAGATGGATTTAGGGAATTTGAAAGGAAAAATGGATTCATTAAAAGAGACATCCCTACTGATAAAAAAGGTACTTGTAGAAATACTATACAACTTATAGCCTTTCTTGGTATCTGAGTAGCCCATGAAAACAGCAGGAATTACCTTAGAGAAGAAATTATCTGAGAAATTTACTTTAGTGGCATAGCACAGACATCCAAAAACCTTAAGGTGATCAAAGGAAGGTGGAACACCATGAAAGCGTTCATAAGGGGACTTGCCAGAAAGAACTGAGGAGGGCAGTCTGTTAATTAAGAAGCCTGCAGTCAAAATGCAATCACCCCAGAATTTTAAAGGTGCATGAGCTTGAAATCGAAGAGCTCTGGCCATCTCAAGTAAATGCATATGCTTGCGTTCAGCCACTCCATTTTGTTGCGGAGTATAGACACAAGAACTTTGATGAATTATACCAAGAGATGTGAATAGACTGGAACATTGAGAATTGAAAAACTCTAGACCATTATTTGATCGGATGACTTTAATAGAAGCTGAAAATTGAGTTTTAATTAAAGTAAGAAAAGCCCTGATCAAAACAACCACATCACTTTTCATTCTCATCAGATAAATCCAGGTCATTCTAGAGTAATTATCCACAATGGTGAGAAAGGATCTATGACCATTGTAAGTACTTTTTCTATATGGACCCCAAACATCCATATATACAAGTTCAAAAAGGGATACAGTTTTCTAAGTACTAATGGGGAAAGGGGATCTAGTCTGCCTTGATAAAGGACAGATAATACAAGACAGAGATCCTTTATTAGACAAATAACCCTTCAAAGAAGAAATTTTTTGTAGTACTACTATTGGTGCATGACCAAGTTGTTGATGCCAAATAGAACAAGAATCTGGAGGACTGGATGAGGGACATTGTTGATAGTTAGGTGTAGTTGAAACTGAAGGCTGGGAGACTGAAAGGGAAGATGTGTTGGCAGGTGATGGCTTCTTGATAGGTTGAAGTAGGTAGAGACCATCCTTCTCCTTACCAATCCCCTTCACCTTGCCATTGCAAAGGTCCTGAAATACACAAAAGTCAGGATAAAAAGCTGCACAACACTGCAATTCTTTTGTTAACTTGGAAATGGATAGAAGATTGTATTTGAAATTAGGAACATAAAGCACATTGTGTAACTGATTATCAAACAATGAAACAGTTCCAATGTGAGTGACTGAGGTGGTATGACCATTAGGTAAATGGATTCTACTAGAGTTGGGAGTCACGAGTGATGGGTTAAGTAAATTATGCAAGCTTGAGACCATGTGATTCGTGGCTCCAGTGTCAATCACCCATGGATCAGTGGCAGTTGCACTAGCAGAAAAAATATCAGGGAGACAACTAGGTATACCTGCCATGTTGGCTGCAGCTTCTTGAGAAGGTGGTTCCTTAGCGATCAAGTTCAAGATCTGCTGGTATTGTTCAGGAGTGAAGACCGGGAAAGTAACTGTTGGAACAACTCCAGTAGTGCATGGCACAGGCATGGTAGATGTTGCACTCTCTGTCAGATTGGCATTGTTTGTCATAGGACCCCTGGTAGTCCCAAAGTTGTTCCCAACAAGTTGATTAGGCTCGTGATTCTGCACTTTGTCAAAGGACTTCCTTCTATTGAACTTGGCATTTTGTGGATATCCGACCAATTTATAGCAATTCTCCCTCTTGTGTCCTTTCATATTGCAATAGTCACAATAAAGACTAGTATTCTTCTTGAATCTATTTCCTTGTGTGGATGCCAATATTGTTGAGTCATTTAAATCCAGTTGTTGTAATGGTTGAGCACACTGTGAAATCATATTGGACTGCAGCCGCTGACTCTCGTCTTGCATTATCATGTTGTAAGCCTGGTTTAGTGATGGACTGGGCACTGTTAACAGAATTTGATTTCGTGATTGGGAGTAGGTCTCATTTAGACCCATCAAAAATTGCATAAGCTTTTGTTGTTCCATATGTTCTGCATATGCCCTGTCACCACCAGGCAGAGGAACTAAAGAGAGGTATTCGTCCCAGACATTACGCAGCCTAGAAAAGTACTCAGATACAGAATAGTATAGATTTCACGATGCAATAGATACACTCGTGTGAGATTCCTTTTATTACAGCGCTCTTTCAAGTCCATCCATACCTTATGCGCATTAGAAGAGTACATAAGGCCATTTGCTAGCTCTTTTGACACGGAATTGGTAATTCATGACAAAACAAAAGCATTACATCTATCCCATTCATGTATCAAATCATCCTTATACATTTCCCGACAACAATTTCCATCTATAAACCCTATCTTATTTTTTGCTAGCAATGCAACTCTCATTGAATTACTCCAGGCAGTATAGTTTTCAATTCCAGTTAACTGCTGAGAAATTAAGATGCTACCTGGTGTATCCGATGGATGCAAATACAGTGGATTTTTAGGATGAATGTCGGTGAATTTCTCAATCGAGCCGACAATAACACGCTCTTCAGTTGTTGAAGTGTTTGGCATGATGAATCAATAAGAAAAATTGTAGATTTGACGACGACAAAAAATTAGGGTTTCTGTGAACTCAATTAGTCCGAGAAAATTTTAGAAATTGCACAATTTTCAACGAAATTCAACTCACCACGGACTGCAGTTGCTCAAACTCGTGGTGTTTCAACTCAAAGGACGACCGATCGGTTGCTTTGATACCATGTTGGAAGGATTGAGTGAGCTGTGAGAGACACTCAGTCGAGAAAAATGATAAGGAGCTTGTAGAGAGAGAAATAAAATTGGAAGAAATGAATCTTACACTTTTGTCATTCACTATACACACAATTATATGCATCCACCTGATTACTAACCATAACACCTAACCATAATTAACCTTTAACTACTAACTCTAGTTAACTAAACCTTACTCACTACGTACAAAATACTACTCTACAATTCATAGTACAAGGTACAGGTAAAATTTGCCACTAATACTTTCTACACTGGTAGTAATGAATTTTAACAAAAGTCAAAAGCAATGTATAAATAAAACATTAAGTATGAATAATTAATCCCTCGCGGTTTCCAAAAATCAAGCAGATATCTGTCTAATGAGCGGAATTGTCCTTAAAAAGGAAATAAGATATAAAACAATTAAAAAGTAAAAAAAGAAAAATCCAAAACAACGATTATCATTTTCAGTGATCAACTTGGACCATATTCCAAACGAGCTCCAAATATATCATATTTCATCAAAGCAATATAATCGATCTTTATGCAGCTACTCCCACCTTTCTGCCTAGAAACAATTATTTAACTACGGGCCATCGGTTTAAACACAAGAAAATGGTGTATGTTTGCATAAAAAGTGAAAATATGCAGATGTATGATACCTTGGGCCTATTCATAGAGCTGCCAAAATAACCTATTCCAAAAGATGAGGAAGAGTAAACAGCTGCAATCTCAACAGTTTGCAGCTTAGCCAAAGTACCCGCAACCTATGGACAACAGATCGCCAGCCAATGTGTAAGTTCCTTTATCTTTTTTTCCTTTAGATTGAAGCAGGGGAAACTAGAAAGATAAAGAAACACCGGAACGATCTTACTAATCTTGAAGGCTCTGCTTGAACTAGAAGGAATCCAGCACTACTTAAAGCACCACATTGGATGTTTTCTTGAACAGTTCGCAAAAACCTTTTTACAGGCAGAATCTTGTGACCTGCAGAAAGAAACAGGCCACTATCAAATTCAGGCGCGAAAAGCGAGATGAAACCTAATATGTGCATGTTCAAGTTCAACAATTCAACAATGACCACTAATGTTTAGTAAAATACATTGAATCTTGCAGGCAAAATTTTCTTCAATGCTAAAGGAGTTCAACAATCATATTGGCCACAACTAATAATAGGTAGAATTGTAATGGGGACAAGTGGGAAAGAAAATATCTTAGATACGTGGCAAACATACAGTGATGATGAAATACAACATTCCCGAGCAGCAAATCCTTTCATTAGATGCTCTCCAGCACCACTGACACAGCATCCCACAATAAATGGAGCTCCAAAAGGCCCTATTGACGATGCCCAGCAACCGGAACCATACATTGCTGCTAGCCCCACACGCCCACTTACCTATTAGAAGTTTAACGGCTGAAGAAATAAGCAATCCAACAAATTTATCAGCTCAATATAAAGAAAATAATGGAAAAGGACCTCTTCTCTTTCAACTACAATAAATCAGAGCCAGGAAAAGTTTCACAGCAATTAAGTTTGCTAAAGGAAATAATAGACATTGAAATCAAGAAAACTTTACACTCCGAGTAGATTGTACGGATACTGCTACGAAAACAGAAATGCAAAGCCCAACCAGAAACCAAAACCATGATAGAACTTTTAACTACTTCAATAATCTCATGGTTTTTAATCTTCACCTACATGGTGCTCGTATAAAATCAAAGTACATAATAAGCCTTTCAAGCAGTCAGTTATGACCTGAGAGTAAAGTGCAGAAAAAGGACATAAGAAGAACTATGCAGAAGAAAGGAGAGGAGGGTAAGAGGAAAAGAATAATATCATTCAACGTGTGAACATGATAAAGCCAACAGCTCATATCAAGCCAAAAGGAAGAAATCAGAACCACAAGCAATTGAGCTATGTAAAGCTTCTCAATATCCAACTAAATGACAAGGCTGATTTATACAGAGTAACCTCTTTCAAAAGATACTGAGAAGTTCAATAGAAGCAGCAGAGGTTATGGAAGATAGGCAAATACATGTATATTTGTTCCAACAGCACAAATAAAGAACTTTAAGGATCTCAGAGTTGTTAGCACTTAGCTTGCATGGCCCTGTGCTCACTACCCACCACTATGAACTCCTATCTATTAACAAATGCATGTTGTATTCTTCTTCCCTCATTGTTTTTTCTTTTGCGTAGAGTGGAAATCTAGGACTCAGGGATTTGAAAAGAATTTGAACTTGAAACCACATTAATGTTTGGAGTTACGTACTTTACAACATGACGCGAAAACACCATAGAAAATCGCATGTCGTTACAGTTCTTGTTTCTACATTAAGGTAACTTATTTAAAAAATGACGTGAAACACTGTAGAAAATTTGACGTAATGACTAGTGTCACACCTCTTTTTTCCGAGGGATAGGGGGTTTCCCAATTTAAGTGACATTATTCGAAATGAGATTATTTATTTAATTCAAAGTCGTCACTTAGAAAAATTATGATGGTGTTCCAAGTCACCGGTTTATTTTAAATTCCCAAATCGAGGAAATTGATTCTATTTATGGTCCGCGAACACAGAAGACTCGGTAAGAAATTCTGTTAACCCGAGAGAAGGTGTGAGGTACTCCCGAGTTCCGTGGTTTTAGCACGGTCGCTTAACAATTAATACCTGGCTTAAATATCTGCATTATTACAGGTTTAAAACCTATTGTGCATTTTTACTTCTAACCGCTTTTAATTAATTTTAATTGCTGTTTAGGAATTATGGGATTTATTTGAAGAAGTCACGATGTCGCTCACTTGTTTGTTTTTGTATATATTGCGAATCACGCCACGCGAAACATAGCCGTGATTCACAACACGTTTATTTTAATTATTATTTGAAGTTGTGGTCAAGTCGCGTGAAACACGCACTTGAGTTGAGATTTACATATCGTGACCATGCCACGGGAACTGTACCCATAGTCACGATGATTTATTAATCGCGCCTAAAGCAAACTATGAATGTTTATGAGTTGTTTAATTCCTAATACTGCTTTGAGGTATATTGCAAGGTCATAAGAATTATGGAGAAATGTTGTTGACAGAATGTGTACAGATTGAGATAATTTTAAGGTAAATTGACGTAAGCATCACTGAATTCGAACGTCAGTTAATTATTCTATCATTTGAGACCCATAAGTTTGGAAAACGACTATTTGAAGAATCACGAATAATTAAGCTCAGAACTTTTGAAAATCCCTACATGCCTTGTATTTACAAAATCACTCAACCACTGAATGGCAGTATTATAGATTAACAAAATAAATAAATGGTTTGAACAAATGAACTTCTATCAATTTAAACATTTGTAATTTACATGAACAGTCACCTAAGCAAATACACTGTCAATTATGGAATACATCATCTTATGCTTAAAATTACAACATCCATCCTCCATTAAAGAATACATGTTTGGTTAACCTTCACTATGATCACAACTCTAACTGATGCTTAATGAATAACAAACCCAAACAACAAAGAGCCGGCAGAGATGAAACTTCACTCAAGCCTTAAATGGCAAATCAAACCAACCTGTGACCAGATCCACCATTATTGACCTTCAAATCCAGGATTAGACTTTAATTTATTAGAATACAAAAGCAAGTTCAGATTTCAGTAGTTAACACTCAAATATAGGCAGCATGTATTTGATAATGAGATATGTAGGTTGAGATCCAACTAAATATGTGAAATCAGCTACAATTCTAGTCACGAAATTGCAATGGAGACCATTTGTCCTTAACATGCAAATCCATAATAGGTTTTAAGTCTTAAACACATCAAAAATAACATCCATTCATGTTCAAAATAGAACAAACAACCAGTTTATATAATCACAACAAATAACTTTAAAGAATAACCAACATTTCATTGCAAATCAAAACAGATGTACATGTGTGAGATGTGTACCTAAACTCGTAAACAAGCTGAACTTTTGCCAAATAAAGGCTAAGAAAACCAACACGAGATGAATTCAGCAAGAACAATAGCAGGAAACAGAAGAACAACCTCAAGTCTTAGCTAAACAGCAGGGTGACAACAACAGATTTTTCAACAACTCTATGCAATTTTGAAGAAAACAGAAGTTGAATAGCAAATCAAAACAGAGAAAACAGCTTGTGAAAACCTTGATGGAATTTTCAGAGTGTTATCTTTTAGAAATCAGTGTAAAAAATGAAGAAAAAGAGTCTGAATCAGAGAGTAAATGTCCAAAATGAATATGCAGGGGTGCTTTATATAGGGAATATGTATGCCCTATGAGAGAATGAGAGAGGGTGTGAGAGTATTCTGCCAGCTCCCTAAAAATCAGGAATTGTCATCTTTTTCAACTAAATTGGACAGCTGTCCTTTTCAGATATTTTTTCTTATTTTCAGCATCTTTTCTTAACCAATTTGGACAACTGTCCATCATCTATTCTTTTCCTATTTTTCTCAGCCCCTTAACTTCTGAAATTAACCCCTTTTGACCTTTAATTTACTGCATTTTAACCCCTTCCCAAACTCTTCTAGAACTTTCCATCAGCTAAAAGAAAGATTCCCTAATTTTCTATCACATTCACCCCACTAAAGTTCCAATTAATACCAACTAGTGCCTTTACCTCAACCTACTGTCCTCTTTTATCCCACATAATCAATATTTACTAAACAAAAACTAATTAATCTAAATTGAAATTAAGCTATCAAGTACAAATTAATCACAATCAGCAAACTAGTTGACCTATCAATTAAGCACATGCGTAATTAAAACCATAACCTAATTAATCGATTGAACTTCAAGTAGAACTAAATCAAATAATTATTCAGAAAGTTAAAACATTTTCAATTATTAACCTAAGTATGTTGACATTCAAACAGGTGATTACTAACAAAATGCAAGCCTACGATTATTTAGCTAATTTATGAGCGAAACTGATTCAATTAAACTAGGTCAAACAAACCACACAATTAAAAAAAAATCTTCTGCTTTCAAGAAACAAAATCAACAAAAGAATAAGATAAAAAGGGTGAGAGAGTACCTATGGAAGGAAAGACGATTCAATTGAAGCGATTTCAACGAGGTTCGACCGGATTCTGATGGTTCCGAAATGAGATAAAACTTACATTAATCAATTGCTCTTGACTAGAGCAATTGATCAATGTCAGTTTCAAGTCAAAAGAGTTGAGAATCAATGAAGAAATCCAAAGGGAATGAAGCTAGGTTTTCTGACCGTTTTTTAGATCTAAAATTTGTGAAGTTTGGGTGGTTTTTTGGGAAAATTGATGGGATATTAGGGATTAGGAGGATGTGAGGACTGTGGGGTGTGAATTCGAGGGAGATTGGGGTTGTTTGAAGTGGCGTCGCCGGCAAAGGGTCTTGGGACGGCTAGGGTTTGAGTGAGAGAGATGAGAGGGAATGAAAATGGGGTCTCTAAGGGTTTGGGGGGTCGGTTCGAACAGATATAAGGGGATTGGGTGGTGCGTTTATGGCCGTTGGATTAAGGGAGATCAATAGTTGAGATTGGGCGTGAAAAAAAGGGGGTCATTTGTTATGGGAGTGTGGACCGGGTATAGGAATTGGGTTAGGGCGGTTCTGGGGCTATTTTGGGCCATTTGAGGCCGGTCCATCGTCATTAAAACTAGGAAGCCTTCCCTTCTTTTCCTTCTTAACATTAAAGTAAATTATGTCCATATGTAGCCACTTAAAATTCCCAAATCAATCCTAATTTTTGCAAGATTGACCTACTTACTATTTTATAACATTTAATTAATTAATTAACTTAACATTAATGAAAGAAAATTATTAATTTAAAACTAAAAATCTAAAAATAAAAACATGACCATTATATTTTTTGTGATTTTCGTTTGATATGCCTTTATTTAATGTAATTAAATCCTACATACAATTAAGATCTAAAATACTACGACACGAAGAATTGAACATTTTTTAAGGTGTTTTCTATGATTTTAAGATATTAAATATGCAAAACAAAATGCAACTAAATGCAAACAAACAATTAAAAAGGAATTCCTAGAAATTCTATAAAAATAAAAAATAATTAGAAAATTTTATTTTTTGTGGATTTTGTAGGAGTATTTTCGTAGGGCAAAAATTACGTGATCACAGCTGCCCCTCTTTGCTCGGAAACATAAAGAGTTTTCGGGCAAAGATAAAGTGAGCAATTACGAGTAATTTTTGCCCGTTTAACGCTCCATGAGAAGTATTTTTTCCCAAAAGGCATAGATTCATATAAAGAGGAATAGATATAGAAGATTCATATAGTGCACCCCGAATTAGTTTGAGGTAGGGATAGTAGCTGCTATTATTATTATTTGACCAAATACTGTATTTGTTTCTTTTGATGAAAGTCATCAGAAATTCCGATAATCACCATAGAGAGATGAGACCCGTTAAAGCGAAGCAGAAGGAGAAGACTACCTGAAATATTGACCAACAAATAAGACAGAATTACCAAGAAAATCAATTTGGATAACTGGTTCTTTCCCAAAAGGCATATACATTGAAACATGCACATACAGTGTATCAATATACCAGGAAAATGCAGAAGTTGAGCAGAAAAACAATTACTGTAAAAGCTACACACTACTAGAAATCCGCTAAAAACCGATCAACCGATACCGACCAAAGAAAAAATGACCAAAAAACTGTCCAACATGGACGGAAACAACAAAAAAATATTTTACATTTTTTTAAAATTACATACCGATCAAAGTTGGTCGGTAAATTGGTCAACAAGTTGACCGAGCTATTCAGACTTGCTTAGTCAAAGAAACTTTTTGATTACCGACCAACTTTGGTAGGTAATGTGGGCTCAATTTTTTAAATTTTAATAATTATATTATTATTTAAAATATTTTATAAAATTTAAAGAATTTATATTTAAAATTACCGACCAAAGTTGGTTGGTTAATGCAGGGGAAGCATTTACCGACCAACTTTGGTAGGTAATGTGGGCTCAATTTTTTAAATTTTAATAATTATATTATTATTTAAAATATTTTATAAAATTTAAAGAATTTATATTTAAAATTACCGACCAAAGTTGGTTGGTTAATGCAGGGGAAGCATTTACCGACCAACTTTGGTCGGTATTTTTTATTTCCTGGAATATAACTGACCAAAGTTGGTCGGTTATTAGGTCAACATTGGTCAAACTTTTGAATCACTTTTATATTTACTATCTAAATAATATAAATGTAATCCGTTAACACTTTATTTTATAATACAAATGATGAATACACTAATATATGCTATAACAAGCTATATACAGTTAAAGTATTGCAATGAAGAGTGTGTGTGTGTGTGTGTATATATATATAGGTGTAGCCGTATATATATAAGAACACGAAGCGTTAGGACCATAGGGTCGGGTTCTTTTGGGGATAGACTTGTGAAGAAGCAATAATCTAATTAGTA